AGGGATAAATGTTTTTAGTCATTCCCACAGAAGAGTCTGGTGCCTAAATCTTGGTCTTAAATCAACAGAGAACTACATATTTTTGGGATCATGTTCCTAACTTTTCCCCAACAGAAATCCCCTTTAAAGTGTGACATTTGACTGAGCAATACCCCCTCTGTACCCTGAGCTGGCTCTTTACATTAAGGGTTAAAGGGGAACTGCCTCATTGGTTATAAACCATCACATTCTCGCATGAGATTAGAACATCACAAAGGAAACATAAAACACAAATTACATGTATATTACATATTTATAATACAATGGTAACTATGTTTAACCATACAAGAAATATTTCTCCAAAAAGATAAACAATTGCACATAATTGAAATATTTCAGTTAGAAAGTAACACGAAAAATGGCACTGTTAAAAATAAATCAGCATTTGAACAAAATGATACAGTTGCTTTGATGTAAGACTTTACAAAATAATGTTTTTTTTATTAATGAAATACAAAGGGGTAAGAAAAAAAAGGCAGAGAAGGATAATAATAATAAAAAAGTTTTTCTGTGTACAAATCATGCATTTTCAAAACAAACCCTTACTCTTCTTCAGATTCTTCTGTTTCCAGTTTGGCAAGGCGTTGAACTCGACCCGACTCATCTCGAGAAGTTTCTACAAAACAGTGCAGTGAAAAAGCAGGTTAATGTCAACAATGTTTTACTCAGGGGTTTTCATTTCCATGTCATTTACAGACCGCACATGTGTGTACTCATATCTGAATCTGCATACGTCAGCTCTAAAATATTCCACCCGCTTCTTTAACTTTCTTATATAAACATCATGATGAAATGTTTCTCTTCTGACTCTGAAGCCTGTCAACAAGCTCATGCTGAGACGTCAGGCTGCGTGTGCACCTTAAAGTCCTGGTCTGACAGGTAGTCCTCCAGGCGTAGAGGGTCCACTCCCTCGGGCAGAGGCTTCCCGGTCAGCTCCTCGATGGTGTACTGCTCCTTACTGAGCTTGGACAGCGCCTCCTTCACCAGCACCACTTTGCTCTGGGCATTCTCAGCCTGAGGCACAGTTTAATGACATGGGTTGAAAACACAATTCTACAAGTTAAAGCTACTTCGTTAGATTCTATCAATGTGAAAACTATTCAAAAAATGTCGCCCACCATTGAAACAATACTGGCGTCCTTCTCCCAGTAGGGGAAGATGTTGGTGAACGTCAGGGGCTCACACCCTGCTAGGACCAGATAAGCCTGAGGGGGGCGCCGAGGATTCTTTTCTGTTAAATATTTAGAATATCAATATTTAGTCTATGACGGTGTCAAAGTCAAACATCCCAGAAACACTACATAGTTTTACCGGCTAAACTCTGCGGAGAAAATGGCTTACATCCCACAACTAAAGAAAATTAGAGGATAAAACATGATTGAGGAAAAGCAGCTTCTCATCAAACTGACTAACACCCCAAATCCTGTTGAATGAATTGGAGTTCTATACCTCTTTCCTACTTTAATACTTCTGTTCCTTTCTCCAACTACTCAATTAGCAAGTTCTATAAATGTGAAGATGAAAATACTAGTGCCAAAACCAAGTAAACTTGGGACAGCGCTTCAGTTCATACGTGCGAACCTTTGCAGTACTGCAGCACAGTCTCCATGGCGCACTTTCTCTCGTTGTCCCAGCGCATTTTGGCAGACCCGGTGCACTGAGAGTCTTCAGGTTGCCAGCCCTGCCACAGATACACCTCCATGCGGTTGTCGAGCATAAACAATGCTGAAAAGAAGGGACATAGAAGTCAGATTAAAGTGTAGTGGCTGCACTGGTTAATGTTTTCCTAATCTTTAAAACGATTCTACAACTATACTGGGCTAAAAGACTACAGGAATTAATTCCAGGGCACAATGACTTAATTTCCATTTCATAGTTCATACGGAGTTATGTAACTTGAGTTGAGGTTCCACCTTTATTTGTTTATTTTTTCCGTCATCATTTTACATGCTTTGGACTTGCTTTGATTGAAAACATAGATGTATAAATCTCTGGTTGGGCGTGGCTGTTCTTTGAGTTACCTGGCTGTTGTGTGGAGTAGAGGTTCTCCTGCAAGAAAGGCATGGCCATTACGCCCTCTGCCACCCTGGCAGGATACAGCTGCTCCTCCCCCTCAAACGTCCCAGAGCTGGCGCTCAGTCGGAAGAGTCGAGGTGTGTAGTTGTACTTCCCTGGATCTACAAATAACACACAAATGCAAACTCACTGATGATCCCTCTCTCTTGTGACTGCTAAGTCACTAAGTGGCTTTAAGTGGCTTGTCATGCCATACCTTGCAGCATGCAGTCATAAGCTTTCTTGTCCCGTGGGCCTAAAGCTTTGACAAACTCTGCGGGTTCAGATCCCTCCTCCACCTCCTCCACTTCCACCCTGCTGTTGCAGCTCAGTCCTAACTCAGAGGGACACCTTGGAAACACAGGAGGTCATCAGTCACCCGCAGCAGCCGTGTGCTGCTTAATCACTCCCACATGTCCCCGTCTTACCTCTGATTTAGTTTGTCCACTGCTCTTTTGGCAACAAGCTTAGAGTCTGCGTGTGCTTTGCACCCATGCCACAGGTAGAGATGGCTCTTCTGTGCATTAAGGAGCACCAGGCAGGCACGAGAGCGCAGACTGGCCCGATGGCAGTCCACCTCCACCAGGGAGGCCTCCACCTCAGCCTCGCCACGCACGCAAAACAGCCGCCATGCTCCTGCAGAGAGGTGGGTCACGTGATATGAAGAGGGACGTTTGACCTCAGCAATGGTTAGAAAAACCCATCTTCATGTGAGTATTAACATGAGTGGGATGCTTTGACAGCAATAACTCAAATGAGTATTTCACTGGAAATCAAAGCCTCCACATGACGTGTACCCGTATCGTCGGTGCTGCTCTCTCTGCTTCCCTTGTGGATGATCAAACCTCCCTTGAAGAGCTGCAGGAAGCATGGGGGTTCTTTTCCTTGACTCACCAACACCTGCACAGCAAATCCAAAACAGACAGATGCAGAAAGACGCACATGAGCTGAACATACTGCCGGCTTTGGCAGTTAAAGCGTTGACATTTTCTAACTACACTTGTGCCAGTGATGAACAGGAACTCACTTGTGAGCCCCGGTGGCTGCCGAGCTCCACTGTCATTAGAGCCGAGGTTCCTTTCTCGCTGATGCTGGAGTGACGGCCCTGCCAGAAAAAGCAGGCGGTCCTCTCTCGCCCCGGGCCTCCGGCGCTCAGCTCCCCAGGTTTCTGCCGCTTCCCCACTGACACAACAAAGCACACGCACACAAATAGAAAAAAATGAGGGCTTGTATTTACGCTTCTTAACAGACCTCATTCACGTCATACCAGCAGCAGGGAAACCCGCCACATGACCTACCCAGTGTGGTGATAGAATACTTCCAGCGGATGATGTAGGTGTCCCCCTCGTGCAGCTGGCCCACGCTTTCCTCAGGAACCTCCTCCTCTCCGTGCTCTCTGATGTGCCATGCTTCCACAGACACGGTGTCCAACGCTGCCTGTCTTCCATCCTCCGTTCTCACCAGACCGTGACCCCGCTGGACGTCCACCCCCTCCAGAACTGTCTTCACTGGCTTCGGTTCGTTGTCCAGCAGGGCTTTGGCATCACATGGTTGCAGCTCCAGGTCAAGAGGGGAACGAGGCATGGAGTGGTCTGGGCTCTGAGCAAAAAAAGAATGTTTGCTTTTATATGGGAATTTTTTATTGCACACAGTATGTCAGGTGCGGGCCAGGTCAGGCTGTTTGATACTTATTTTAAAGGTGCCTGGTCATACTAATAGGGTTAAAACTCCCCGTCGCTGTTGAGACTGGCACCACCAAAATGAAATGGAACCCAAGCATTACTATTACTACTAAAATGATTCTGTAAAAAAACTATTCCTGATATCTACAAGTCAACAGGAAAGTCAAAAGGAAAGTCTGACCAAGAACTGACAATGACCACAAATGGCTTTAAATAGACGTCACCAGTGGTGTGTTTGATATAGAGGCACTCTAATCTCATCAACCTTGACTTCCTCAGCTTGAGCTGCTTCCTCTTTCTTCCTTTCGGCCCAGTCCAGGAACTTCTCCCTGAATAGAGCTGTCTCGTTGTGCTCGGACAGCCGGCCAAACAGTGCCCAGCTGGGACGGCCCTCCCCCTGCCTGCAGGTCACACACATATTGAACTCATGCACACGAAAAACGAGTCATGTTTGCAGCTGTACTGGTATGAAAAATCCACCAGGGGGCTATAACATAACAACAAACGATCAGGGGATACTCACTGAGGCACGTTGTTGTCTGTGCAGGACGCATCTAAAGGGTTGACTCTGCAGTTGCTGTAGTCGTAGCTGCCGCTGTAAAGCTGTTTGCCTAGTTTCACCGCCACTTTTCTGTCACCCAGGGGCACATCTTTCCCATGCCACACGTACACTTCACCGCCAAAGTCAAACACTAACACCTGGTGTGTGCAATTACCCGAAAGAAGAAGAAAAAGACAGGATTGAGTCATCCACCACAGCATACAGACCAGTGTTGTGCTTTTTTCAGAGTTCCTGAGGGATCCTTCATGTACTATACTCCATGCTCGTCGTGACCGTACCTCTTTAGAATTGAGCAAAGTAACGCTGGGGATTGAGGCCCAGGCATCTTCGTGAGGCACTAGTTTGTCTCCCTGGAGTCTGTACACACCATTGGAGTCCACCACTCCACTCTCATACAACTCATCCTCCTCTGGCTCCCCAGCTCCTGTAACACATACAGCCACACATGGTACTTATCAGGGTAAGAATGTGTGTAAAATAACAGGGAGGTCAGTCTGCTATCTGTAAAGCAGGCCCAATACAGCCGAGTTCTGGTGACCAGGGCGCCTTCTTGAGTCATTAAGCATGAAAGCGTTTGAAAAAAGAATGTAAACCTCTGTGTGAAAGAATTTTTACCTCTATATTTGGTCTTTCCTCCCAGCAGGCTCCAGAACTCTTTGGCCCATCTGCTCTCAGTGTTTATGCCCTCCTCTAGCACAGTCACTTGAGGGGCCTTGCAGCCCAGGTCCCTCTTGGCCTGAACAAATGATGCCATCTCTGATGCCTGGAGGCAAACAACACATAATGTACTTGTAAAAAAAGTAAACAAGCAGAAAATGTAAATAAGAGTTGAAAAGGTTATTTAACATCCTATAGGTGTCTAACAGCAGCAGTTTCAGTTTTTTTAAAGCAGGATATGGTCATGTTTTAGTAACTGGCTGAACATGCTTTAAAAGTTTAGACTAACTGATACGTTACTAGTATCGGATAAGACTATTCACTTCCCACATTTAACATTTAACCATTTTCTTGCACTTGTGGTACTGAGGATATTTTGTGAAAGTTCTGGTCGAGTGGAGTGAAGATTGAGGAGATCGTATGGTTTTTCAAATGTGATTGTTGGGGCCCCAAAAGTTTGTGTGTTCCACAACTAAAACAATATACAACAACCACAAGTATGAAGCTCTGTGTGGGGAGTTTACTACCTTAGCTTTCTCTATGACGTTGGCAAACTCTCCACTCCACATGTAGCAATGTTTTGGTGTGATGAGAAGGAAGCAGTCGCCACTGTTTAGGGAGTGAGCTGTGGGCTCCACCAAACGCACCTGGACATGCCTCCGACCTGCAGACAATAACAGCTTTCATATAACCACAGCGTCACTTCATTTAGCAAAATCAGGTTCTTTATATTGATAGAGAATGAACAGGAAACATGCTGTATGTTGAAGCTTTTTTAACTAGTCAGTTTTTGTTATGCAGCTGTAGCAGCTCCACAGTTATCACTTGTATATTTAACAAGCAGGAAATCTTCCAATGTTTTCTGACCTTTGATGCGAATGAGCATGAGCTTATTGAAAGGCAGCGCACTGTTGTTGGTCACAACATCTGTGGACTTCACACTGCGCAGGTTGACCTTACGAAAGTTCTCCTTGCTGGCTAGGCCCGCCAAGGCCACGTCAGCCAGGTTTGAATGTTTTGCCACTGAGTGTGTGAAAACAAGAAGAACAGGTACACAACTGTTAACATTTGTCCCCCAAATGTTGAAACGATACTTGCTTTATTTTACACACATTGTTTTGACTGGCTTCTGTTCCTTAATCTGACAAGTTAGGAAACCCCCAAATGCAAACATAACAGGAGATGCTTTCTAATAACTATTTCCATGAGAGTACTACAAAACAAATGTGTAGATGTGGTATCCACTTCCTTTTATGTAAACTGTTGTCAGTTTAACTAATGAGCATCCACAATTTGGAACTGAATGCAGGAAATATTAAAGCAAGAAGGAGAAGAAATCGTTGACCAATATAGCTTTGCATCTCATTTAAAACTGTTTAATTTGACAACACAAAGAGGATAAATACTCCAAGTAAGAGGTTACATCCTGCAGCGATCTTTTTACCCCTACATTAAATAAGCAATTTGGTCTACAACATATAGTCTTAATGTACTGCATGAGCTGACAGGAAGCTGAAGCTACAAATCCAAAAGTACCAAAAAGACCTTCCACTCTCATTTAGGAACTATGTTCTAATGTTGTGCAGTCATTTTTTATTTCTTTCGGTGGAATATTTGGATATTCTGAGACTTGCGTAAACCCTGTTTCTACTGTAAGTGTGAGCCATCTTACTTCTCTCCACTTGAATCCTTTTGGTCTCCACTGAGGCCACATTAAGCCTCTGTTCGGTATAGACCTGCCGGATGTCATTACGGGCCGCCAGAGCACGAAGAGGGTTCCTGGAGCCTTGATTTCTTCTTGCAGGTCGCACGGCTCGCTTGTGTTCTGCTACCTCCGAGGTGAGTCTAAAAAGAATCAAATCAAACATGAAGGGGTTATTTTCAGACGAAATCCTCTGGCCGGCATTGCAGCAGAATTTTGCACAACTTTGTTAGTAACATGGAAAATAAATTAATGAGAAAATAAATAAAACACAATTATCGACTGACTTTGGTGTATCAGGTTGGATCTGGCTCAGATCTTCCTCCGTCAAAACCACACTGGAGTCCAGGAGAGTTGTTGGGGAGACAGATTTGTAGAAGTTGCCGAATGTCTCGTCATCATCCAGCGTCATCACTTCTTTCTCCATCTCTGCTGTCACCTCGATGGTGGATGTCTGGCTTTTGCTTACACCTGAAATCCAAACCATGATATCAGAATGAAGGTAAGCACCAGATATGCCGTAACCTCTTTACTGTATTTTACTGTCAGTGGCCTGACCATGAACAAGTCCACTGTAAGCTAGTTTAGTTTAGCACATCAGCTAGATATCCTTAATGTTTTGTTAAAGAATGTGTGAAAGAGAAAATTTGCACACATACAGACATCTGAGCCCCCCCAAATAATTGGGAACATATATTTGTTTCCTTTATATGGAAAGTGTAAAATGTACACAAAAGAGGACTCAACCTTTATTGTGGAGCTTGTCCAAGAAGGACTCCAACTTGTCCAGACGTTTATCTCCTTCCACTTTGACGTCACTTCTGCTGGAGATCTCTAACCAGAAAAACACACACATTCAATTAGTGCTGTCTTGTTTTTGCACTTTCATGCTACAGGAAAGAACATGAGTACAAACTAATCTAATTCTACCTGAATCAAGACCATATCTCAGGCACAGGGGTGTTAAAAATTCAGTTTAGCTACAAATATTTTTTGTACACTTTGCATCTAGTGTACTCACAGGCATCCTACATTAATGAATTCCCTAGGAATGCATAGAGATAGTACCTTCATGCGGTTTCACGGGAGTGGCATGCGACTTTTTGAGGGACACAATGGGTGACTCTTCCTTTCCCGTATCTGACACAAGACCTAACAGAGAAGAAGTAAAAAAAATCAAATAAAGATCAATGTTTAAATGAACTGACTTTGAAAGTCTTTACAAGCTTATCGGGCCAGCTGTAGTAAAACTAGAATTGGTATCACTACTTCACCTTTCTTGGCCATTCGTCCAGCCACAGTGAACTGGATCGAGTCATTGGCGGCTCCTTTGCCTCTGTTTTTCCACTGCTCCTCCTTCTCCTTGAGGATCTTCATCCTGTCTGCAAGCGACATCTTGGGTTCCATATCCAAGTTGGACTTCTGTTGGATTAAAATTTCATTTAACTTAACACTTGCAAATGGTGAGTGAAAGTCTTTTCTGTCTTTACTTGTTTAATTAGGCAATTTTAAAGATGTACAAAAGAAGAAAATTGCATATATATATACATATATATTTTTGTCTTTCTGAAAAAGTAACTATTTGTAAAAGTTTTTTATGTAAACTGTATTTGTTATTATTTCCATCCATTGCTCAGTATTTACCAGCTTCCCTTGTTTGATTTACACCTGAGGCCATTTTTCAACTTAACCATTCTATAAAAAATGTACTTGTCGGTCTTTATTGCCTCCCATGTCCCACTGGAGCTAAATAATTATATTCTCCTCCTATATATTTCTATGCAGAACTACTGACATTATAAAGTTGCACAAGACAAAGTGATTCCAAAAATAAAAAATGTATTTGGCTGTAAATACACATGTCAACTGCATCTTGTTAATCAGCATCTTTTCAAGAGAGGGACTGCATCACAACTTATACTGCCCTGGGATTTCTGTAAAACACAACAAAGGGATTCCCTAAACCAAATGGTTAAAGTTGCAGAGGACTTTTTCCATCCAGATGAATGATGATCTGTGTAATCTGCTGGCCGTCGTCATCTTCACGCTCCACAGAATCAATTTAAACATTTACAGATGTCAGGAACTTTAAAGAGAAAAAGATGTTTGGCTGAAATGTTGCAGAGCAGCAATGTGGCGTGAGAAAATAGCAAAAAAACAAAAAACAAAAACAAAACAACTACTCATATCTATGCTTTTTTGAGTCATTATGAATGTAGCAATTTGATTATCTTTCACACTGATCAATCTTTGTATGCAGAAAGAGTACTGATAAAGCTCCAGGATTCCTTTTTAAAAAGTTTTATTCATTAAAGGCAAATGTTTTCAAATGATGACCAAGAGTGTGTTAATCCAGAACAGCCTAAATGCATTTCATGCAGTTTTTTTCCAGCTCATTAATCAATGTTAATTTCAGTCAAGAAGTTATGTCAGCAGTTATTTTTTAACTTTGTAAAAGTCATTTTCTATAGTTAAAAAAACTGCAACTTCAAAAGTTCCCAATACATTTTTTCCCTTTAATGTTAAACATGTTACATTTGTGGTCAAATATTAGCCCGGATTGATGGTAAAGTTCAAAGTATTGTATTCAGTCATGCTGGTTTGCATACACACCCACACACACACACATACTTAAACTGATGTAAACACAGATGCCATCTTACTTGCTGTCTAACCTATGAAGAATGACAGGGGAGTTGGCTTTTCAGACAAATTCTGACGCACAACACTGATCAACCTGAATGTGCCCTGGTCTATGCCACTCACAAACACACCACATGAGAATCTAAAGACTTCACTGTTCTGTTTGTTTTGACTCACACAGGTAAAGAAACAAGTTTTCACAACTCTGTGATGTTTCACTCCTAAAAACCTGTTTTGCAAAAAGTATTGCCACAAATTACCTAATTTCAATTTACACTATAATATATTATTAAACACAAATGAGTATTTTTTTTTAAATACACTATTATGCTCCCATAGCCCCTCCAGCTAGAAGCCAGTCTCTGGAGTCAATCAGAGAGGGGAAATACCTTGGCCTGACAAGACCCCAGAGAGAGGGGAGGGAAGGAAAAGGGCCCAAACCACCACAGGAAACCATTTTTTCCCAACCCCTGCTGCACTGTACAGTGTAAGCAGCTCCCCAGCTGAACCACTGACACAGATATCAACCACCTGTGAACCAGCAAACCACATTCCCGGGGCAAAACCAGCTCTGGTTTCTCAGTGGGAACCAAAAAAAGGGGGAGAGGTTTTCAAGGACAAAAGTTGTGGAGAAAAAAAGCAACATTGTAAGTATTTAAGTCCACGTAACAACAGGCACAGGCAACGCACGTGCACCAACTCACCTGGAGGAATGGGAAAAGGTTGACAGGCAGGTTTCAAAGAAAGAGGGAAGAGTCTGCAGGTGTATGCAAAGGCTGTAGGAGTGGAGAGGACAGTGGAAACTGAGTGGGAGGTAAACAAAGCAGAGGATACAGGAAGAAGAAAAGAAGAAAATGAGAATTATAAGCAGAAACTGGGGAAGAAACAGGGTAGCGATCCACTTAAGAAGTTGGGAACTGCAGTGGTGAGACTTCAGATGGAAGACGGATACATGGGTCATTAGCTGATCATAAATTGGTTGGAGTGGGAATGTTTGCAACCAAACACGAGTACTAGCTGCAATGTGTTCAGTAATTCTGAAACCAGCTTTCTGTTAGAGCTGGATTGGAGAAAAGCATAAAATTCTCTTTAGGTAAAATTCAACCACGGTTTAAAGCTTCCCGAATAAAGATCTGATTACTTCTTTCTTGGCTCAACATGCATTGGAGATAATGCACCAAACTTTAGATGAGAATGTATTATTCACTTTTTGGAAACTAACACACCAAAACCACCGTTTCCATTCCCTGTGCGGGAGCCGGAGTGTTTTCTTAATTTAGAGACGCGATGACCCAGCTAGGCATTGTTGAGTCATCGCTGGAACATGAAACACAGACATTTAGCAATCCAAGAGACTTGAAAGGAAATTCTTCATTTCTAATGCATTTCAATCATTTTATGGATTTTCTTAAGGACATTTAGAAATGGTGACTTAATGTCATCACACTACTGCATTTCCATCACAAGAGCAGCTGTTTTTTCCCAAACAGCAAAAAGCTGCCATCTGTCAACACGGCTTATGATTAACAGTCATTCCTCAGGACACAGCAGGCCTCCTTTAAATCAAATTTACAACAAGGCATCACTTTACAACACCATGGTGTATAGAAAAGCTTAGCAGTCCTAACAGGAAACATCTGGACACGATCACAGTGTGTACCATGCATGTTACAATCACTGTTGTTTTTTTCACATTTCAAACAAAAAAGGACAAACATCTGACCCAACTGTACCAACTAGTTTTACAGAAAATGCCAAAACAAAAAAAACAGGGGCTTTCTACTCAAAAGAAGTAGCAATAATGTGATCAAATATATTTGGTCACATGTGAGACAGTTTCAAAACTAGAAATGAAGGTGAGCCATGTGTGATCTGCATCATTTTCATTTGTAACACATGTTTCTAAAATCTTTTACAGTAGCAACTATAGTAGGGAAGTGAGTTCAAATTCAGAGTCAATCAGCTTAGACGGAATAAAAGAGAAAAGAAAGGACGACCTCCTGAACAACAGTTGAACCTTATTCATACATATAAGCGTTGAGTCAATAAGGTAAATATACAAAATCTCTATTGACATTTGACTATTCAAAATATAAACAGACCATGCAAATATGAATGACATCATATTTAATTTTTTGACTGCAGAACTGCTTTCATTTTAAAAAGAGGCTTTTTCCGGGCTTGAAGTGGATCTAAGGTTAGTTCATCTTTGGATAAAGTATTAACCCAATCCAGAAATCCCCTTAAGAGGATCACTGAACATGACATGCATCAGGCACAAAGATGCCCTGTTCAAATACATGTGACGCCAAATTAAATGAATGTTTTTGGGATTGTCCATGTGGAAAAACTTTCAGACGAACACAACAGCTTGCTTATTTATTTTTCTATCTTTGAGAAGAAAAAAAGTGTGTAGCGAGTGCAAAGACCAATAAAGGAAGGAAGCATTAGCTTGGAAGGCTTGCAGGTGTTTGGTCATGGTGTAGGATTTTATTTTTACAAGGGGGTGGAAGGAGTGTCTTTCATTATCTTTGGGAGGCTAGCTGAGCCCTGGGTCTCTGCTCCCAAGCCTGCTGCAACCCCAAACCCGCCTAACCACACACCCTCTTGGCAGCAACTCTGACAAATGAGCTGATTCAGCAGAGAGAGACAGAATTGCGCATGAAGCCAAGTTTTTCTTTGTTAAGGAGAGGCGTTAATATTTGGCTCTTTTTGCTCATTACTGCCAATTCTCCAAACCCCCCAAAAACTAAAGAAATCTTAACTTGATGTCGCCATAAAAACAATGGGCCAATAAAAAAATGGCTTTCATCTTCAAAGTAAGTGTAAAGCAATAAGAATGGACGAAGTGATCAAAAACATTACCAATTGTATAAAGTTTATTATATATCTTGAAAAACCAGTTTGTGTCCTGTTCCCCCTAAAAGCTGACTGACATCTCACATCAGCCCAAATTCACTTCCTACTGCGAACACTGACTCGGTCTCCACTGAGACATGCATCCCAATTCTGACGGATAGTTACTCAGCATAAAGTGGGTGTTGGTGTACGTGCACTGCAGAGTCACTGCGCTGCAGTTAGTTACACGCTAATGCTATTTAGCTTAAGTTCATGCAATAAAATAGTTTAGCAGTGAGTCATTTTAAATGTGGTCACCAAACATTTTTACCCCCAGTAAAAGGTCTATCTACAAAAACAATCTGGTGCAATATTTCTTCAACATGTATACTGGTATTTGTAAGTTTTACAAATGAGGAGGAGACTTTGTTCAGTGTGGACAAGTTACCTTTTTCCTCCAGGAATGTTCAGCATCTTGGAGTTGATTGAAGCGATCAGCCAGCGACGTCTGGATCATCTCTGATGGTTTTGGCATCTTTGATCTGTCCCTCTTGTCACTTTCCCCACTTGTAAACTCTGTTAGTCTGTAAACAGAATACAGAATGAACACATTAATGAGGAACTGAATGGACATATAAAAGCTTTGATGATCTGTTTGTTGTTATGTTGTAGAAATAACAGAATTTTGGAGTTTTTTATGTCCAACAGGAGTTGCATGGATGTTGAAGATTATTCAGATTTGGTTGTTTTTATTTGTGTACAACATCTGTGGACAGACATGTATTATATGACATGGCTGTTCAGCATCAGCTGCTACATAAAGCAGCTGAGCAGTATGCGGTCTAGTTGTCTTAAGTTAAGTACAAGACCAACTTTCACTGCCAATTAAGGTAAATGTTCCGGTCATTTATCATATGAATATGTTTTATTAGTTTTTGAGGAATAGATTTACTAGTTTTTGAGGAAACAAAAATGTCACTTTTCTTTTATTTGTGCTTCGTTCGACATTTTTGAGTGTTCTTTGTGTCTGCTTGTTTCCAACTACATATTTGTGTGCATCCGGACCTCTGCTTAAACGATGAGCTCAGACTTGAATCCAAACTGCTCTCCAGCTCATCCACATCCTCTGACACTGAGGAGGTCTTGTCCAGGCTCTCATCGGGTGAGGGACTCCGCATCTCCTCGGAGCTCCCTCTGCTGCTGCTGCTGCTGTTTCCGTCCCTCCGCTCTCTGTCCGTGCTGAAGCTCAAACCATCCGTCATATCATCAACTGATGGCTCATCCTCTTTGTCACTTTCTTCGTTTACCTCTTCCTCCATCTCCTCTTCCTCTTCTTCCTCCTCCTCCACCTCCTCTCCACTTTCAGGGTGGCTGAGGGTGACACTGCTCTTTCGGCTCGCCACCTGTTCAGGCGTCGAGCCCTCGCTTTGGTCCGACTCCACGCTGGTGGAGCGACTTTTCTTGAGGATTCCCTTGATGCCGTGTGGTCCTGAAGCTTGGTGCAGTAGTGCGGATGGGGAGTGGCACGAGGGACTTGGAGGGGGGGAGAAATCTCTGTTCTTGGTGAGTGGAGGAGCTCTGTCTGAGAGGATACTGGATGGCTGAAAGGAAGAGGAGAGACCAGTCATTATATTCATCATATCTGGAAAATACTTTTCAATGCCACTTGAAGTAGGTTTTTGATTCATTTAAGTACCTCTTCAACAAAAGACACTTCCACTGTTACTTTCAATAAAAACAGTGAAAGCAGGTTGTCATTTTGCTTGTCTGTCAGACTATAGAATGCATATCCATGGAAAAACAAAGAACAAAAACAACACAAAATTCATGACCGCAGTCTCCAACTAAAATAACCTACAGCTTTAGGAGACTTTTAGGAGACTTGAATGAGCATGATGATGACCCAAAAAAAGAAAAGTAAGAAATTACAACAACAACAACAAAAAATCTGACATGACATCATCTAAAATTCTGAGTTAATAGGTCATACAAAGAAAAACTAACATTATGCCAAGACTGATTGAAAAGGATTTGTCAACGAATCAGAGACTAATTTGGGGAAAAATTAAGATTTGATAATGGAGAACAGATGTCATGTGAACTTATGCTGCGAGGCCAAACTATCTTAAGAAACCCAACACTTTGAAAATGTGAACATGAATTTCAAAGAGCTTATTTTCTTCAATACACAGCAGAAATGTTAAATGAGCCCTGTGCATTCAATGTGTTATCGCTTAAAAGAAACGACAGCAGCTGGAACAACACCAGGCACCGCACTGACAGGCCAAAGGTTAGGCTGGTTTCAGAGGAGAAGCAGATTGTGAGGCCGGGCTGGGTGTGACGGAGTACAGTTGACCTGGTGGTCTGCTTTAACGATTGCCATTCTGTGTGAGGTGTCTGTGGGCATTTATGTCCATGGAAAAGTATGTGGTGATAATTTCATTACCTGTGGAGATTGGTTTAGGCTTTAGGTAAAATCAGAACTTTCTGTCCACACAGGGAAGAAAATGTATATGTTCTGTATAACAACTCCACGTCTGACATGAATTATTATCTGCAAGTTGACTTCAAATGCAAGAACGAAAAAAAAAGAAAAGAAAACTAAACCAGACCGAAGGAAAAACAAAGCCAAAGATAGGTGAGTAAGAGTTTTGGAATTGGCTTATACATGGTCTTTTTCAGAGCTACAGCGGAAGAGAAAACCCTAAGCTTTCCAAACATAGTCCACAGAGAAGTCCTTTTATAGATGAGCTCAATGATTTACGAAAACCGATTCTTATTTTCACAGTTTTTGCCTGCAGAATACACAACTTCAGGAGAAAGCTGACCTTTTTTTCCATTGTAGTGTTGGAAAATCCACTCTCCTCCTTCCAGGAAGAATTTTCAGTGGACTTCTGCATTATATTTGCAACATCAGCACTAGAAAGGCAGAAATATCAGCAAAAATGGAGAGTGATGCAGAGGCAATCCATGTTCCAAGAAACGTTAGAAAGAGATGGCAACACAACAAAGTCAAACTCTAGAAATTTATCAAAAAAGTTCAAATAGGCTTAGTAGACAGTACAACTTTTGATCAAACTGTACAACATTTGGTGAATAATGTGTTACATTGATAAAAACATTGGAAGTGTGCATTATTGTAATTGGATGAAGGTAAATACTAATTCAGTGTCATAATTTAGTGTCACATAGTGTCTATATGATGCTGTGTCATGAAATATAGGTTCAACATTTGAATTCACTTTCCCATCTCCCTTTGGATTTACTAGTTTGTTGCTTGCCTCTTAAAGGGGGAGGATCCGTTAAAGAAAACCATGTGACGTACACAGGAAGAGACTGCATCTATCTTTCATACACTTTCAAAGTCATAGCTAGCCCACTATAATAATAGACATCAAATTTCAAAATGTATTGATGGAATGCATTGAACAGAGCTTTTCTGCTCTTATCAATCACTCATAGCACTTTAAAATGCAAGCCACATTCACATGCATCCATACAGCACTTCTATGGTTCAAATAACACACTGAAGGGCAGTTAGGCTTTCAGCATCCTACAAGTTTTATTGTACACTTTGGCAATAAAACTGGAGCAGGACCACAAGCTTCTTATCTCATGTGATCCTAATCTTGAACCTCTGATGGTTGTATTAATCAGAAGTAATCTCCTTTTCTATCTGTATTTTCTCATCTTTATATAATTTCCTTAAACATAAAACAGTTTTGTGGTAACATTGAACTTGCAATGTATCCAATGATTGTTGACAAAGTCCAGCTGGACATAGTAAGAAACACACTCAAGCGATTCTTAATTTGAGGAGAAATTAGCTAGACTTAGCAAGTCTATTCAAACTTAGTGAGCCCCTTAAATTTGTTTTTTTACAAATGCATGCACTGCACGGGTAACAGGGCTGAATAAAGTTTGATTTTCAGTGCAGCAGCAGCCATTCAATTTGGTTTGCGTTACCATGGCTACCATAAATCCATTATTGTTTGAAAGAATACATGTGTGCATGTGTGTGTAAGAAGTGCGTGGTAAAATGGGCGAGTCCTGCAAGTTCATCTAGTTTATCTCAGCAGCTGTTTACTACATTTCAATTGGTCTGTAAAAAGCCCTGAAATCATTTCAGACTGATCGGCGTGCTGTGTAAGCAACTGACAAGGTGTATAAGTCTAATTATTCATGTTGTGCTCATTAATGTCACCTATTTTAACAATGGGCATGAGAAAAAAGTTTCAAGTGAAACTCAAAACAGTCTGATTCAATAGGTGTGGAGAGTCACTCACCTGGAATAAGATTCCTCCTGATCACTTCTGGACAGCTGACGCTTTACTCTGTTACCACGGTCGCTGCCTCCATCATCCATCCCTTCAACGTCCTAAAAGCAGAGACAGGGTTTCAAAAGGTTGTGTTAAGTTTAAAAGAAACCATTAAGTCCTGCACCAGCAGAGTAGAATATCTCGATGAAGGAAGTGAATCACTAATATGGCTCCACCCCTCCTCAGAAGAAAAGCAGTTAACCCTTGCAGCGCTCCAGCTGAGCTGCTCAAAAGTCAGTGCTGTAATGTGGGATTATTATAGACAGTGCATAATAAGCAACTCCCTGTCCAGAGTGGGTGCAGTGGCATGCTGGACTCCTGACACCCATGGTCAAGATTTCTGTTGCTGTTTCACATGTCAGAATTTCCAAAGGTTGGGAAGCCTGCTGAGCTGAGCTGTACAACGGTACTTAAAACCACTTTTGAAAAGACTCATGAGTGTTTTGGTATCTACTACAGAGTTACTCAGTTCCCGTTTGAGGACCCTTGTCAGTTTTTTTCAAAGGTAAATTAATGGGACAGTGAGGCTAAAACAAAACCGTCATCTCTGTGTCAGTTTCAGCTTTTTTGGTTTTCTTTTAAAGCAATGAGTTTTGGTCTGCCATTGTCCTGCATTTTCTTCTCATACATAACCACCACTTCTTATTTCAATGATGAAATGAGAAAACACCACATTGTCACCAAGATTCTACTTTTGGGCTTTAAACTATGAACACGCCGTAGCTCTAACGTGATGATTCAGGTCTCAAATCTAAGTAACAGTCATCTGTCAGCTTAAAGTCTTTGGGTATCCAAACCTTTGCATGCCAACGTGCTGCATACTGTGGAAATTAAAATTGAAATATGAGCACTGCTGGTCCTGCATTTTCCACATTAAAGTTAAGCCTCCTCTAGGGAATCATTGCAGTTCATTTATATTATTTTTTTCCCAATCCCCAGGGTTAAGCTCGCAGGGGTGAAACTACTGTTGCACATACCTCCTTTGATGCCCATATTTTGCCTGTCCACAATTAAAATCATTTAGATGGACATGAACTCAAAGCAATTAGTTTTTAAACCTGTGATCTGAAGTAAACTAAAATCAACAGCACTGTCATCACTGCAAATAAGACTTTCCTCTTGATTGAAAATCCTCTCCTTGACTGTTTTATAGAAAGCAGCATAGTTGCTTTACATACATGGCAAAGTAGTTATTGAAAATTAAACTGAGGGATTGTGCCTCTGGGTTCTTTCGTCAAGTAGTGAGTCTTTTTTCACATGTGTGCAGCACACAGCTGTGTGAGTAAACACTTCGGAGAGACCCTGGGGTGACCTTGTGAAGGTAAGTGGATCTCCAGCAGTGAGGAAAATACCCCAAATCTCCTGTAAACCAGAGGAGCCTTTTACAAACTAAGTGCTGCTCACTGGTCATAAAGAAGAAACTTATTTTCTACTTAGCTGTATTCGCCGACACAGATGTCTACATTAAGTAAATGCAAAAAATATACAAGGTGCTGTATCACACATTTAAAAGGTATCATTGTACAAATTTTGTTTGCTCCATCTGCTTTGGAAAGCAGACACATGATAACCTCATTCCTACTCTGCGTCAGCTGATGGAGACACTGACTCACCACTTTTCAACAGAGACTGAGGAGGAGAAATGAGTGACTGGTGGAAAGTGAAGAGAGAAAACTGGGCCCTTTGTTGAAAAATGAGACACCATAAAATAACACAGATTATGCTCAGGACAAAAGACGTAAGAAGGAGAAGTGTGATTGTTAGATAGGTTCCTCTCTTTGTGGAAGTCTGTTTCCCACAAATATTTGTTGTTTGGAGCAACTTACTACCATCTGGGTTTACTTGGACAGGATTGGCACTGCTCCTGGCCTGCAAAGGCCAAATTAGAACAGCTATTTACATAAAACGTTACTAAACCTCACCACTTCTGAAACTCAAGCAGCCTGGGAAAACCAGATACCCTGTTCATTTTTGAGCTCAGATGTGAAGTTCTCCCACAGGATTGAGGACTTTTCGTTCCTGAGTGCGTCCTTTCGTCTTTTCTTCCCACAACCGTTTAAGACCTCCAAGGGCTGTGTGAGCTGAAGTCATGACTTTGGCCAGACTTGCATACAGGTGCAGGAAAACTCAGTGCTGTAAGGAATGGCTCAATTTGTTATTAATGGAGCACGCTTCCAGAGGGGAGTTATTGTGTGCAACAGCTGCACTGGAAAAGGCTGCAAATACATCTGCAAGCGAAATGAAAGGAATCAAGGACCCACTTGAAAAGTATTTAACAAATCTTACATCAGCTTGTAATTTATAGTCAGATTTGAAGTCTGCATTTGTGCTGTCTTATGGATGCTTTCAGGTTTATTTGAAACAAATCTTGGCAAAGAGCTTTGTGCTGCTACTATTAGATATTTGAACAGTTATTCAAACCTGGGACCCATCATGCTCACTTGTAAGCACTCCGGGTCACTTTGCACCTGCAGGTCAATCAAAGGCAGGTCAAACACTCTCTGCCGTCTGGACCTCGTTTATGGCCCTAAGGTCTGTGAGTGTGCTGAAATGATGTTTACAAAAAGGAAGAAGAGCACTACTGAGCAAATACATCTTGATAAGATTCCCCTATAAAGATATCACGAGCAGAGCATGGTCATTTTTAAAAGTGCCCTTTGCAGATTCAGTTTCAGAAGGTATTTACCAGAAGCTCATAAAAAAAGCTACAATTGAGAGTTGTGGTGGGCGTAAGGGATTTATCAGATTTGAATTTGCCTGAATGAACTGCAAGTTTTTGCAAATCAAATTAAACTTTTTGATAAACTGTACAAAGAAAAGATTGCAGTTTACAAATGCCTCCTTAGGGGATTTTTACATTAATTTGTACCAATGGCCTCACTAACAAGTCCTTGCCTGACCCCAAATCCAAACCTAATCTGAGTTTAGCTGTAAAATAAGGCTTCACACCAATATGAAATCATGCAACTATTTACCAGTACATTGACAAGAATGGCTTTTGGTGACCAAAAAGCATGTTTACCATTTCCCTAGAAGATGATGTGTGTACAGCCTTTACACCCCATAGAAGCAGCAACACAAGTACAAGCACTAAAAAAACATTAACCAAAGAGAGACAGATGGTGATCAGACATGTACCGTACCTTTACAAGGGATATCTTGGAAGTTACAAATGTCTTTGCAGTATGAACAGGCTGCTCATCAGCTGGAAAAGACAAAGAACAATACAACACACACTTAATGTTGAAAACAACAATAGTAATTCACATGTGCAGCAATGTCCTTCAAATTAAGCACATAAGTAAAGGTGTCAGTTTGGGGTGAATGTCTTACATTTGTGTGTGTATGTATCCACACATTTGTGCAATGTTGGTGCAAAGACACTGCTCATTCATATTTACAAAATGGTGTCTTAACAACTGCTTAAAAGCAAGCAAGAACAAACCATCATGCACATTTCTTCACTCTTAGCTGCCTCTCAGTCAAACTTTGGCACACTAAAAGAGATATGAATTACGGACACACACACAGACACAAGAACCCAGATGCTTTTGGAAAATGTGGAAGCTGTCTTTGCAAAGGATAAAAACCTGATAAAGTGCACACAACTGTGCTGACGGCATTGTTGGCTGCACCAGTGGTTTTAAGATGCTTTTGGATAGAGAAGCTAACTAAAAAACTAAAAAGTTGAACCTGCAAAGTTACTGAGGAGTGCCGCATTCAGTGAGTCTTAATGATGACTTATCCAGTTTTGTCATCTTAATACAGAAGAATATGTTCAAGCTGTATTTAACATCTGTGCAAGAGAAAAGAAAGTCAAGTCTCATGTGATGTATAATGCAAACAGCCATCAGAACAAGGGGAAACCATTACATTTAATAGTATTATGAAACAACAGATTTCTGAAGTCATCACACTCAAATCCCGTCCCTCTCTTAATCTGTTTTTACTGCCCTGACAAGGTGACATTTCTTGCCAAAATAATGACTGACCAGCTAAGTGTTTCCAGTGGAAGAAAAAAAACAAAACCCCAATTTTGATTTATTTTGCAAAGCTCCCCTGCCGTCCTGAGCTTAGCATGATTTAGTTCAAATCATGAAACATTACGCATTGCAGACTGGTGACTACACTCAGGCTGCGCTCATAGTTTTGACTTCAGTCCAATATTTTTCACATCATCAACTCTCCAAGGTCAAAGCTGGAGTTGGAGAGAAAGGGAGAAAAGACAGACAAACCCAAAAGATGGAAAAACCTCTACTTAAGACTAAGACTACTCTGAATGTGTCTCCCTCAGTCTGACAGGAATTCTCTCTCATGACTTTAGAGAGAGCTTATGGAATGGACCTTTGAACTCAGAACAGTCATGTAGACAGGCCAGTAAGCTCTGAAAAATGGTATATCAACTGAGTTAATGTTCTGCCAACACCAAAAAAGTCAAACAGAATACGAACTAGAACTCTATGCATCTGAAATCATATATAATTTCAGATATATCACTTAGTTTACTCATAATTTTAGATGTACTAACATCAGTAAAGTTTGGTCCTGGAGATGGGTTTTGTTTGTATCTATGTATAACTGGTCGTGGGCACAGCCGAAGTCAGTTAAACTCTTGATGCAACTATGAGAGGCGTTCTGGCTCACAGCTCCAACATTGCAGCCTGTTTGGTGAGGAAGTTCAGACAGCCCTTCACACTGCCAGCGCTTTCACATATGCTTGTGTTTTCTCGACTAAACAGTCGCTTTAGTAAATCATCAGTAAGTGACTAAGCGCATCACCATTTATTTTCTGTCACTTCTCTTCACTGGGCAAGAATCACAAAACCCACTTCAATACAGAAGATAGGCGATCCAACATTAGCAGTGAGCTCAAGGCTTTTTTCAGACAAAGTAACAGGAAGCTTTGAATGACAGACAAGTGTTCGGAACAATAGAGGATTTCAACACAAAGAAAGTGGAAGGTTCATCTTACCTTTGGGCTCCTTTGTGTCATCAGTTTCCAGCGGCCTAACAGAGGAAGAGAGGCAGAGACTTAAAAACACTTTGTAAACGTAATAAAGTGATGAAATTACACCCATTGTATTGAGTGTATTTACACAGTCTATAAATGCTGACTTGACTAATGGAATTTAGATGATCTAATATAAGCCAGGAACAAGAATACAGCAGCAAGCCACTTACTGTGCCTCACATGGTAGGTATTAAACAGAATTTACAAATGCTGCTCTTCTAGGAGCACGTTTTCTATGATGAAACAGTTACTGACTGTAGCATCGAAAGGTGGCCATTCATCTCCACTCATGTCTATGTAATAGCGGTTAAAAATGGATGGGGGTGGCAGCTGCCGGTGGGGCAGTGATGTAACAGGAGGAGGGGAGAGGGCGGCATTTAACACAAAGGAGGATCATGGTGGACATCTGGTAGGGTCAAAGGTTACTGAGGAAGGCCAGGCAGAAAACTGCATGATCAAAAGGGCTCTCTAAGCAAATCCAATTTAAATAGTGACATGCAGCAAACATGAAGAAGATAGTTTATAGATGGAAGTGAAAAATATTCTTTCATAAATCATGAATACAAAATGTTTTAATGCACCAATCAGCAGCAACCATCAAAGCAACTGACACAGACAATAACAACTGCATTCTGCTATAGAAAGAATGCATGTGATGTCATCAGACATGAATCTGTCCCTGTTTTTACACAGGAAGCTGGTTTTATGGTCATACACTCTACACAGTTTGACTCTATGGCAAATCCAGTGAACACAATTGCACAATTTCAGAAAGAATTAGGAGTTTTCCTTTGACAAATTTCAAGTTCTGCTGGTTTGACACTCAAAGACACTGCTAGAAAAGAGTTTAGGAAAGAAGCATAAATAGGACACTTTGTCCAGAAGAGGCAAAAATACTCATTGTACAATAGCAGACATCATCAACATGAAGCCCTCTAGGCATGTCAGGACAGAAATAACTGATGTTGGTGCATACTCTATACTTGGCAACAGCTACAGCCACAGTCAGGACAAAAAGGCTCACTTTTTTTCTAGTTGCACCTTAGTCACAACTTCCCTGGTGTGTTTTATGAGAAAAAGGGCAGTGTGTTTGTGGCAAGCTAATACTTGTTATGCATTGTTTTCAGTGTCCTTCCAACCCCAGCTTTCCTTATCTCCTCATATCAAACCCTAATGCTCGCCATCAAGCCCTGTCTTGTCATGCAATCTGACACCGGAGACAAGACTAACATTGTGCTACGGGTTTTCTATCTAAAGTTGTTTTTTGGTGCTGTTAATTTAGACTCCAATAAGACTGCGTATGAACTTTTGCTGTTCCACATTAGATGTGGTATAATTTCCATAATACTGTGGTCATTTCAAATCTTTCGTTCGTATAATTTTACCAGCTTCAGCTGCTGTGGCTACTCTTCCTCAAGCTTACTGTTGATTTAAGGACACCATACGAAAAGCGGCTTGAAGGAATTGTAGAAATGTACATTACAATCGGAACTGCGAAGATCTACAAGTGTTGGCAGTTGAAAGCAGAAGAAGTACAAATTAATTCCTCTAGATTCTTGCATTTCTGTTACTTTGACTGGTGACACCTACATAAACACTTACTCATGGCATCGGCTTCCCCCGGCAGAAGACTGTGGCCTGGGACTCCGCAAACAGAGTTCAGGAATAGTTTAAGGAACACCCAGGCCCTAATCTGCCTGAGTGCAAATCTGATACAGCTTCTACATAATCCTCTAAAGATCATAAAGTCCACCGGCAATATCCTAACACCTGAAATTAGACTGTGGAAAGTTTTGTCAGTTAGGGAAGACAGGCTTCTTTACTGCTTTGTGAAGTAGTGGAAATTGGAATCTTGCTGTCTTAAACATTTACGGCTTTCTTTTTTTATTTGGAGATGGTAGAAAATATGATTTAAGAATTAAAAAGAAAGATGGTTTAAATTCCTGCAATAAATTGTATTTGCTGTTATTAACTCATTGAACAACATAAAACAACTCGAAGACATTTTTCAGGCTATTGCCATCTAATCAGACTCTACAGACTACATACGTCTTAGGAATATGAGGCAAGGTGACATTTGTCCAGTTCATATTTTGGGTGACATGCATCAGCTAAACACTGAGGAAAAACTGAGCCCAGAGACATGAAGAGCATAGTAATCCACAGAAAAAAAGGGAAGGTATAAGAAAAAAAGATACGGTAAACACATTTGAACCCATGCCACTGCTTATTTAATCAATTTCTTTGAAAGACTTCCTCTAATCCGCTCCACTAAATGACATTAATCAAGTAATGAAAAGGGACAAGTGGGACTAGAGTAAAACAGAAACCCATTTTTCAATCGTAAAAATCATTTTGTTTGTTTTTCTTATTTGTTTGAAACTTTAAGACAATTTCCATGTATGGTATGGGCTTAAACAACCTGTCTCAGACATCTCAAGAAAGGAAGGAGAGGAACATTAACATTAAACAAATTATACACTGAGTAGTCATAATTTTAGACAGCTGACTATAAATGTCAAATTTTTGGAATGTCACCCTTCAACCAAATTTTTTTTTAGAGCGAAGGAATCCTGTCTGACGCCAATAGACCTTATGACAAGACAGTTTTCATTATCATTAGAAGAGCTGAGCTCCAGTTTCCTTCCTGCTATTTTTGTAACAGACACACATACAGAAAAATGTAAATTTGAAGTCATTTGAATAATTTTATCTGCTACTTTGAAAGAGCGCAAATAACTATAATTAGTTGTTAAACCAATCATTTCTAGGGTATGTCAATGAGTTACTGAAACGCAACAATAGCCTGTTTACTGCCTTCTCTGTATTTTGTGTGACTCCACACCGACTGTGGCACGCAGTTAACGTCATCACAGAACTGACAAGGTTAGTATTTAACCTGACAGACATGCAGGACAAACACGTCAAAACATCTTCATGCTTTGTAGTGCAACATTAATTCCCTAAACTCTCCATACTGTCTTTAGTCAGTGTGCAATGCAAAAGTAAATTACATCCAAATCTGTACCGGGACAAAAACTTAATGGATCAATGCTAGATTTTGTGAATACGCTGCCGATACAGTGAATCTCAATTAGTTGAAGCAAACACTCAAAAGTATAAATAGCTGAAAAATTCCTTAAGCGAGACAACTTTGCACAATTTTACAAGACTAGACATGCCAATGCAAAAGCTGTGCAGTAATCAGCCCATTGGTATCAAACAGGCAATCAATCAAATCTTCACATCATGCAAACTGAGCTAAAGGCACTAAAACTTGGCAGATCTCAATTACTCTGTAGCTGGAAGCCCCGAACTTTGATATTATCTCTCCAAACTTTCAGTTGTCCTCTGCCTATCGTCATCCCCTCTGGCAGATTCTTCAGGAACAGACACGTCCAGCCATGCACACAGCACAATCCCCAGCCTGGATGCACCACAAACATCCACAGACCTACGACTGGACATACTTTTACTACGTGTCCGTACAATTATCACTAGTGCATTCCTTACTCCTTCCACCCAATGAAGACGCTGTATCATTCTTTCAAGTCACCCTGACCGCCTTGTCAACACAAGGCTTCACACAGAAGGCCAATTTTGGAAAAGCTTGCCTTTGTGTTTACTTCAAACTGATGATAGCGCTAAGTGTTCCCTTAATGGGAACATTTGTTGGCTCCTCGCTACTTACTGAGATATATGGCAAAACATTCGGTTCCTCAGCAGACCCACTTGCACATGTGTTCTATATTATTTCGCACACTGACATTTTTCTGTCATGCTTCTTACAGTTGTGTGCCTGACCAACATCAGAGGAAGTGAGAGTTTCTTGTGTTAATGAAATACAGTGTAAACTCACTTGAAATTAGAGGACATCTTCATGGCGGAGACAGCCTCAGACTTAGATGATGAAATAGTGCTTGCTTTGAAGAGGTAGGGTGCCTCTTTGTCGCAGCCAGGCTCATCACCAACATTCTCTGTGGTGTCTGCCACTTTGCTCCTTACGCCCCTCCTTGTACATGTCTCTTCTGATCCATTATCCTCTAATTTATCTCTCTCCTTGGTGGCTGAAGATGTTTCAGATGGCTCAGCAGTTTTCCTGTCTTTTCTGACATATTTGGAGGTGAATTCTTCTGCGTTGCCATAGCGCTCTGCCAGCTCCCTTCTTCTCTCTGCCTTGTAGCGAGCAATTCGCTCAGCCTTGGTCTCTGGGGCAGAGCTTTGCAACGTGTCTATGCCATCCATTAGGCAGTCGAATGCCGTTGAAGTGATACGATATGAAGGGATTTCTTCAAATGATAGTTTCCAACTTTAGTTGTGGCTGCTCCTTTGACACCAATGTCTCACTTCATCAAGACCATCACAATCCTGCAAAAGAAGACAGGAAAATCTCATTAGTACAATATGATTCTATAAGGCTGATTTTACTACAGTCCCAGTCGGGTTGACCAGACTTTTACAGACATTTACCTCATAATAACTAGCGAATTAGAGGCCTCTATTTAACTCACTCACTTTGAGTTGGGTAAAAAAATAGATGGTAAGAAACACCCACCACATATCTTCATCCCACTTCATTCCCTAGTTAGAAGAGAATTTTTCCCTTTGCTAATAATCCCTTTACCAGTCTATAAAATTACTTAATAATTGCAACAAAAAAGACACTAAAGCCTTAAATGTGTGTGGATTTGTATTTGTCTACACATTATGTTACAATACAATAATAATACAATAAAACAATATGCAAACTGAAATAGGTTTCTCCAACTTTTATCCGTAAAGATGATAACAACCCCTTTCCACAAATTTCAGCATGACAAAAATGGAACTCTTCTGAGAAAATAAAACAATTAAGTAAAAATAAGAAGCTGAAGTCACTTTGTTCCATTAAGTATTCTCAGAGTAGAAAACCACAAAAGGGTTGGATGCATCAGTTTGAAAACTGCCCTCCCTTAACTGCATGCCTGCTGACAACAGCAATGATCATTAGGTGCAGTTTCTGACCGCTCCACACATAAAGCACGGGGGTGGGGGTGGGGTTCTGCAGACATTTCTCACAGCACAAGTATTTTTATGATTTTTAGGACAGAGAAGGAAAAGAGAGGGTCCTGTTTTATACTGTGGAGAAACACTGGTTTAATGCAGCCCCCTGGTCTCCCTCAAATTACAGGGCAGGAGCTGGCTTAGCACTTGAGCTTTCACATTCGTGGGATGGAGGGGAAAAAGATGAGAGCACTGTGTCTGGGGCATTTTTAGTTAAAAGGAAAAGTTGTTTTTTTGAAAGACACAATATTGGCTCAAGGACAGACAGAAAATAACTATGAAATAAATTAGCTAACCCAAAGAATCAATTATGCAAAGAAATCCTTTATGATCTAGAAGCAGTACTTTCTGACCTCCTACTAAAGAAATAAGTAAACAAATAAGTGAAGATAATCACGAACTGACAATTATTCACAGACTAAGTCTTTGTTTATGAATGTGTGTGTGTGTGTGTACAGGAGAGTGTATGTGTAATCCATCTACTTTTCCATCCAAACAAAGCTGGCCCTGGTTAAAAAAACAAAAAACGAGGGATTAAAGTGTATATTCAAAGGCAGTTTAAGCGAGGTCTATGAGACTTTTGATATGAGAAATGCATACTCTACACTGCGTATGAAATGCATCCACCATCTGTTTTCAAGGTTAACAAATTTCCACAGCTGACTATCTACCTTAGTCTAATGTTGAGTGTCCATGCCCTCTTAAACTTGGAAAAATCTAAAACTTGAACAGATTCTAGGTATGTCCCCTGGCTTTGATGAGGCCACAGCTTTAAAACTGAGTTCACTATATAATATGAAAACCACATGGCCAATCAAATATGTATGCCTTATCATTGGTTTGCTGTAAATCCACAATGACTACCAAGCCCAAAGCTTTTTAGGCTACACAGCTCAGAAGCAATGTGATGTTATGGCAGTTGACATTTCCCTTTGAGAGCAGTGGGTAAGTAATGAGGGGAGAAGAGGGTAGTAAAAGTGGGGGGTAATTGAAAATAAGGCTTGTTTGGTTTTGGAACCCAAGGACTAATTTGCAAAATTGTAAAATCAAGTGAAATTAGGGCAGCAGTAAACACACATATTATTCTTGGGTGATTGACTGAAAAATTAGATCCAATCTGAATCGCCAATTCAGGTTTGGGTTTGAACTCTTTGTAACTACAAAAACAAAGCCAGGGAAATGCCATATGAAGGCAAAATCCTGTTGATCTCAGGACTGTGCTCACACTTACATAATCACCTTGGTCTCTACCTATAAAAGGACTGTTACACAGTACACTTAAGCCTGGTCATGTAGGCCCAGAACATCACGGCTGCTTTGTTTGGAAGCTGTCACTGTTGTTTTAAGGAACAAAGAGAATGACTGAGAAAACACACTGGTGAGTCATACTTTAAAAATCATCACTACTATCAGCATAATTGGACTACCTTAGAGTAGTTTCTTTAGTCACTGATTTATTCCACTAAAACACCACCTATTTAAGGTCATTTCCTCCAAGAAATAAACAAGTCAAGCACTCAGCAACATGCCTATTAAAAAAGAGAGATAGTGACATTGCAAGAAGATGGGTTGTGATAGTGAGGAAAACACATGATCAGCTTGAAACTGCATATGGTGAGATATGACAAATGCATTCAATATTACCTGGTGCCACAAAGTGGTACCAGGAGAGTCAAAAAAAGTTTTAGAGCAAGTCTGGCTTCACTTTTCTGTTCTTGGTATGTTGCTACACCGGTGTGACTGCCTGTTCTTATGAGCACTTTTATTTCTGCTTCAAGAGGGCATGTAAACAAAGTAAAAAGCCCCTTCCCGATCCCTGAAGTGAACTTTGACTTTTTTGTTGCTCCACTGGGAGTTCATGTTGACTACAAGGGGAAGATCCGCCTCAACAAAGGCAAAATGAGTCACTTCCTGACCATACCCAGTGTCCTTCATCATAGGAGCTTGATTAAGAAGGAAGTCATCCATGAGCCTGGCAAACGTTCAAAATGATTCTCAAATGATGGGACACAAAGGCAATGAGAAGGCAATATTGTAAAGAAAAAGGTGATTCTACTATTACACTGCATTGCCTTAATTTAACAGACACCTTGATCCTTGGCAACTTATTAGTGAAGAAAACTTTTGAATTAAGTTTCTGTCTATGTAACAGAATTCCAATTAAAAGAAAACCAATTTATCTTCATACAGCAATTTCGTACTGTATGGGTGTGTAAACACATCAGATACCGATTTCTCTGCTGCTACATCACCTGCAAAAAAGTATGGCTGAATAACTGCTAACAGTTCTTTAATTGTTTAGTTTGTAGCACAGCATAATTTTACCATCACCATGGCTATATCAATGGTCCTGGCATAGAAGTCCAGGAGCAAGGTCAAAGTGAAACTCATTGAAAAATAATGACTCTATTTTGGACAAAGAGGTGATGCTGGCTTTCCTATTTGGTGAAATAAAACTTATAAATATGCCTGCCTGAAGAAAACCAATCACTTGTGTTTACCAGGCTGTTACGGTCCGTCCAGTAAGCCACAGGGACAAAGGCATAAAAGAATAAATTCTATTTATTTTTCTATTATTCTTTCAAAGAAAAGGACATCAAATTCCAAAATATGACAAAAAATGGGCCCAAAAGAAAACAACTAAAGCATACCTAACTCAGGATAACAAACCAACAACTGACCTTCCACAATGAACACAGGGGAATTTAAACACAAAGGCTAGCCTACACCCACCAGAAGGGGTGGGAGATGAGGCAAAGACAAAGTGTATAAACATAAACAATTAATTTAACCCAACATATTTTAACTACAACACCATAACAAACACAAATCAAACCTAACATCAAACTATTTAAGGACTTATACTATAACTAAAAAGAAGAAAGTTATTTTAACATCAGGTCCCCTGCTTCCAGCAGCCCGATGGTTTGTTCCACTTCCTGGTTCATCTCGCCATCAGTCCTCTTTCCCAGCCAGCCCTTCAACTCAAACTAATAATTACAAAACAAAGGCGTTTACTAAATGTGTGCACCCATAATAGTAAACCTAAAACAATAGACACACAAACAAATGAAATTATAAATGTATGGCATGAAACAAATACTAACACTGGGTTAATTGTGGAGGAACCTCCACACAGGCACCCAAAAATGATATTAGTACCCATTCTTTAGAGCCATAGGACCCACACACACATCAGCAGAGATTCGTCTTGAGATCAAGGCCAACAGGAATACAGCTGGCACCCTCCTAAACAAAGTATTTTCCAGGGAAAGCTTTGTCATTTCAAATGTAAAATCAAGAAATTGGCACATTTTCACAAAGTGAGAAACCAGAAGCTGGGCCAAATAATAAGCAGTGGATTTCCAAGCCCTGGTTCGGTTTAGCTTCGCTGGAAAATCCCTTTCTCACTTCAGCCAGAAACCCTAGGCTGACATCATAAAGGAGCTACAGCTGAAACTGAAGGCATTTTCACACATTCCAGTTCAAACACACACATTTAACGACTTGACCTAACACTTTGAATATCTGAAACAATATTTTAAATGCTTTCAACCTTCCACAGGAAATTACTACAAGCATCAGAGGAACACAAAAGCACAATTTTCCTACAGTAGACAAAAAGAACTTGAGGCAGTCTGAGGAAGAGGATGGAGAGAGTGGAAACTTTACTTTTCTGAGAAAAACCTGGTGCCACTTTGACAACTGACTGGATGTCTGTTTTTAGAGAAGAAGTGTCAGCTTGATCATAAGGAAGGAAAACAAAAACTGGTCGTGTGTGTTCAGTGGAAAGGATATCTGTTAGTTCTGAACATACTCATTTCAAACTTGAAAACTGTTCATTCTTTTGAGCAAATAGTCTGGAAAAAATAAACCCACAAACTGAAAGACTGATCTCACCTTCATCCTGATCAACAAGCATGACCATACTGCTTAAATCAAGGCCTAAAATCAGAATAATACCAGGAAACAGCAAAAGGTAGGTGCCTAATAATTGTTGCATCTCAACAAAAGGCATTTTACAGCAATTAAGATGCACTGGCAGAATTAACGTGCTTTTTTTTTGGTAATGCTGTAGAATGAAATGCCTCTCCACTAGTAGAGGGCTTCAGAAGATGCTCCTGACAAGAGGGTGTGTTTGTCAAACACAGTAGAGCTGGTGGAAAGAGGGGTTGACGGGGTTTAAGAAGCACAGGAAGGAAAGGACAACAAACAAAAGAAAATGAGGACAGTTTAGAGGAAAACCGAGGTGCAAAGAGCAGGAGAATGAACACAACTGCAGAGGTCAGGAAAAAGAAAAAAAGGCGAGGAGGTAGGAAAAACACGC